GGCTTGACCAGCCGCTGCTCACCTGTGTCGCGGTGGCAGATAGATGAAACACCGATTTGATGTGGAGAATGCAGAAAAAACACTTCTAGCTGTCGGTAATAGATATAAACGTTAGCTTCTGTTACTGGCATACAGTTAATCCAGTGCTTATTGTGAGACTTTTTTCCATCGTTTCTTCCTTTGAAACAGTCGTGAATAATAATTTTGGCCAAATTATCAAAAGCTCTGAAAATTGGGATTTCTTAGAGTTGTGTGACTTTCTGCACCTCTGCAGTTAACTCTGAATAACGCATCTAAAATAAATAATGCTCCAAACCTTCATTTCTATTCATTAGCTCTACTTTTCCTTTCTTCTACCGTTCATAAAAACGTCCCAGTTCTGGCTGCAGCAGAAGCAACCTGAATTTTAGGTTGCCTGTTCAGGTCGCTTTTAAGGACTGTGTAATTTGTTTCGGTTTTGCATTACAAGCTTTAAAACTTTTAGCTACCGCTCTAGGAAGAGCACGTATACTTCGTGCTGAGAATGCTTTAAGGCACCATTAGAGAGCAGCAGAGGTCCACGGAAAAGCTTTTAACAGCGCAGGTTATTCTTGTGGTTAATACAAGAGGAGAGGCTTGATACCTTCTTGGCACTCCTTGCAACCTGGCAAATGCTGTTTTCCAGCACTGTGAGAAACCAACATTCCTCTTTCTTGCTTACCACAATCATTCGAGGCTTTGCCTGTTTGATGGAGATAATGGCAGCTCGAGTCACTAAAGCTTCCTGGCTCTTAAACATGTTTGTTCCTACTCTACCTTCTCTGGAGAATAGTTTTACTTCAAGAAACACAAAGGACCAGCTTATTCCTGCCATCCTTGCCAACCTCCATTTCATTTTTTATGTGGCAGGAGGATGAAGAGGGTCTGCTCACGTTCAGACTTAGATGGAGACAGCTCTGCCGCCTGTACTTCACTGTTGTTCGTTAGTCTGGGACCAAGGAGTTATTTTTAACACCTTCAATCAATTGGAAATCTCATTTTGGCATGGAGCTGAGTAGAGTGTAGCAAACTCTGACTGCATCAAGCAGACAGCAGGAGGCAACTGAACACTGAATCTTCATCACCAAAAATAAGTACATTAAAAATGTATAGGAGCTGTTACTAAGGAGAAGGCTCCTGTTGTCCACATGACTCAGGCAGAGCATGGAAATTTAAGAATGCACTGTGGCAGCTAGTGGGACCTTTCCCTTGAGGTCTGTCTGCTTGCCACCTGGTTCTGATCCTTTTCTGGCTGAGAAGGACGTGTATCTATACCTGTGCTCTGGTTATCTGTAGTGCTTTTCGTGCAGAGATCCCTAATCATATTGCAAACATTATTGCATTTAGCTTCATAAACTCTCTTTTGACATAGGAAATTATTAATACATCCCATTTTATGGTCAGAGGGAAAAAAGAACAGAGACTGACAATTCAGAGGCCATGAAATCCTTGGCAGGAGATTCTGCAGGAGTCCAGGATCACTTCTTCCATTCTCATGTACTTACTGCTAAAGAAGTGTAAGTCGTGCATGTCATGATCTCAATTACTGCAGAAAATCAATGACTGCACAGCCTGATGCTTTGACAAGGAAAACTGCAGTATTTATACCTTTATTATTATTTATTTGAGCAGTTTCTTAATACTCTTCTTTTTGAAATGCTTAAGTGCCTTTGTGTGTAGCCTGGAAGGAGGCTGCTTTTTATCGTAATTGTATTTATCCGAAATGATTTTATAGAGCAAATGCGTAAGATCCTCAGAGCATTAGAAATGTTTCCCACTTCTCTCGAAAACTAGACACACAGTGTTTCAGGACATCCATTAATAATCCCTGCTCTTGGGAGCGCCTAGCTATCAAAGTGCTGGGTTGGTTTATTAGTTTACAGGTTATTACTTCTCTAGTTTAGATTTCTCTCTTGTATCTTTTATGATGCAGAATATAGACTGTGAGCTGGAACCTCAGGTGCAGCCAGGCTCTGTTCTGCGCAACCAAGGAGAGAGGAAAGGAATTAGTTTGCTCCCTGATGCAGGAGCTGCTTGGGAATTATTTTGGCCCATGTTGTAAATCAGTTACGTGAAGCAAAGCTGCCTTTAAGTACTTTCCTCTGGCCAGAGAACAGCAGAGCGCTCCTCTTCCTCTTATTAATATCGTGGGACGTGGGTGGTGTGGGGTGGCTGTGCCTCTTGCTTTGGAGGTGAGCACTCTTTCGCGGAGCTGTTTCAAAGGGGAAGGAGGGATGGCGGAAATTCACCTGCTGGAGTTTTCACGTAGTACCCACTGTGTTTGAATGGAGTCTGAGAGTGGCTGTGTTCAGAAAATATAGCACTTGGGGAAACAGAGGAGCACATCTGAGGCTGTTCCCAAAGCCTAGCTGTAGCCCCAGTAGTCTGGTCTCCCTGGCTGGCTCTCTGTGGGCAGCAGGGAGCTGCTTGGTCACTGCTCGAGGCAGAGCAGAAACACAGCTTTGAACCTGACTATCTCTAAGCAAGAGCCAAGCCTGCCAGGGCAGAAGCAGGCTGTTGTAAATGTCTCCTAGTTTCTAGGTCCCAGTGAGGTTTGTGCCAAACGAGACCAAAACTGAACAGTTGCTGCATATGGACAGGCTTGTTGCATATGTCGGGCTTCCAGGGAAGCCTGAGGTCAAACGGTGAGCAACCGAGGAGTTGGACACGTCCAGGGTTAGGTGAGCGTGGAGCGCCAATTTCAGAGTTAGAACTCTGAGGCTCTCACTTGATATGCTCCTATTTTGAGGGAAGGTGAGGAGATTCTTGCCCTTTTGAGGCCTGTGATCCCTAGGATAATGAATAATATGATTTCTTATTCTAAGAGACGAGTCTAAGAGCTTTGTTTTGTCCTTCAGTTGTCCACTTGCCTCTTATTGTTTGGGACATTTCCTATTTCATTCGTTGTGTAACAGGAAGGCTAAGCCAATCAATCAGGCATTGCAGATCCACTCTAAGCTATTTTATCTGTTGATTAAACCTTGTTTCCAGGGTAGAATTGAGCCTGAAAAAAACAGTCTTTTGATGAAAACTAAACACAAAGCTCAAAACCAAATTGTTCCCTTTCTACATAGTCTTCAGACTGCCCTTAGCTGAACATCTGAAATTGAAATCCTGGATGTGGTTGCATGCCTGATACTGTCGAATCATGCTATTGTCTCCTTTTCTTGCATTTGCAACTCAGTGAGGAAATGATGTGGGAATGGTCATTGTTGTCTGTGCAAATAAGAAGTGCCCATGTATGGTCACTAAGATGCTTTCCTGCAAAAGCTCAATGTACAGGGTAGGGTTTCGAACCGTGGCAGTAAGCCAGCGTGCTCTCGCTGGGCCTGGAAGCACCTAAGTAGTAATTTGACTAGAGCTCTTTGGAAATTTTCTTTCAGTGCTAGCAGTCTATAAATAGAGGAGTACTCCAGCCCTTACACAACTTGGTTGTGCTGTGTCATTTGTGTTTTCTGAGCTGCTGTGCAGATTGGGAAAGGAGGAGTTCAGATCCATGGGGCTGGGATAAGAAATGGGCTGCCATGATGCTGGGGGAGAGTTTCAGAAGGGGCCTGCTGCTGAGACTGCAGTGCCTGGCAAAAGTGAGGCAAGTCACACCTACACAAAGACTGTGCTGAAAACAACTTCCTGGGTGTTTGATCTACATGTAGTTTGCTTACATTCAGTACCTTT